TTCTCCTCCTTTTTTCTGGTTTTCCTTGATTCGATGAGCAAACACGCTTTCACCCGAACAAGCGTCAAGCTGCGTTTTCGATCGATTGTCGATGACGTTCGGTCTCTGCTCGAGAGGAACGCGAAAGTCGGACTCGTCGATTGGATTCCGATCGGTGGAATATAGACCGCGCGCGGTGTTAGATGCTACGGGAGAGAGTTACGGTGAACATTGGGTAATCGAAGCACTCTACGGGATTGAAAGGTTGCAATTCTGACGAGGTAGAGTCGAGTCAACTCTGAGAAACGAAGATTTTAACGTAACGGACGTTGAAAAGGACAAAACGAGCGAAGGAAACAGACTGAGCAACGACTCGCGATCAGCTTGAGATGTTTAATTGAAAATCAAATTTCTATATTTTTGACTTTTGTCGACGGTGTGTTGAAAGGAACCTGGCAAGGATATGGCGATGACGATGCTGCGATCATCCAATGTTCACCGTACCCAGACGAAGTTCGTCGGAAACTCGCCGTCACCGCGAATCGCTCGCTCCGAGCGAAACAGAGAGGACTGAATCGCCGTCGCGGTGTCGCGGCGAATTCTATTCCGAGCTTCACTTTCTTTTCTTTTCTCTTGTTTCTCGTTTTTTCGCTTTTTTTTGGTGGTTTTCCTTTTGCTCGATTTTTGGTACAAAAATAGATTCTCGAGCACGGGTTACGCAGCCTCGCGGCGGAAACGTTTAGTACCTGCGCGACATTGCTCGGCGAGAACGGCGAATATCGATTCCCAATGGAATTATTGATTTCAATTCGCGGCGAATTATTCTTGATTGAGTCCGGTTTTATGCTCCGTCGATTTATTCGAGTAATTCGTCTTCGTTCACCCGAGGAAACGTTGTTTGACACGTTGACTGCCACGGTGGTCATCGACGACCGAAGTGAATCGACGTGAAAATATTTAGTGACATAACTAGATGACAGCGTGACGTGAGTATCGTGATACGAAATTACAGGATACCTTAACCCTTCGCGGACGAAGATTCTTTGAAATATAGAAAACAGCAGACGAAGCTAAATTATATAAACAATAGACAGAAAGGATTCTACGTGCTGATTGAGTAATTAAATCATCTGCGACTCTGTCTTCCAAACACGAACATTTCATCTCGAAATGTCGACACTCGCCCGCAAAGGGTCAATAATTATTTCTACCAATATTTAACTTCATTACGACAGGATAAACATTCTAATACGAAACGCAAAATTCTCGTGGCAGTCAATGCGTTTATAATTTCGAACGAGCGTCCAACGCTCCGCGAGACTGTGCAAGTCTCGCGCGTGTACCTATTACGAATGCTTCGAAAAGCGAATAAATTCGTATTCGAATAACGCCAGAAATTCACTCTACTCGTTCGTCGAGCCCGAATACAAGCTTATTCGAGATTCTCGCGTTGAAAAACCGTATTGTCGCGCGTGGTCGAGCCTACTTTCCTCGAAGTGAACGCGTTCCGCGGGAGCCCGGTGGCCGCCATCTTGTCGGCGGGAGCCCGGTGGCCGCCATGTTGTCGGCGGCAGCGCCGAGGCTACGCAATGCCCGGCCGATCGAAGAACGGGACTCGGGATCGCCCTTTTAAATAAGGGGGCAGGGGTTTGGGGGCGAGAACTACGTTACGATATACTTATTTATTGGAACACGCTTAATAAGACGTAATTAAGTATGCTCGATTTCCGATATTCTGTTCCGAAACTCGCGGACTCGTGTCTTTCCATTTGCTTGGACCGTCGGGGTGGTCGGTGGAGACAGAGAATGGGAGAATGAACGAGAAAACGGGCGACAGAGAGACCGAGCGAGCGAGTGAGAGGACGAAAAAGTGAATTACGCGCGCGTATACTCGCGCCGTTCTCTTATGCGAATATCCTAACCGCGAGTCGGCGATGAAATCGTCCGCATCAGGAACGAACGTCGAGAACTACGGTGAGTTTCTCGCGAGGGAATTGCGGCGAGTCGATAAACAACATTTTAAAACGAACCGAAGAAGCTATGATAATCATTCTCCGATTCGGTTCTCAATTAAAATCTTCGAATTCTCGATTCGATGATCCGCCAAGACCGAACCCCGCAGGAAAATCTCGGTTTTCCGGTTCACGGATTCGTTAACGATGCTCCTCTTCGTTCCTGACCCGAATCAACCTTTCATCGGGCTTCGAAGCGGCCTGAAAACTCCGTGAGAACTCCAAAACTTCGCGCGAACCGAGGAATCCTCCGTTTTCGCTTCCGTTTCTCACGTGTTCGAACGTATGCGAGAAAGATCGACGAAAAAGTCCGAGAACAATGAATCCCGTGAGCGACGAACGGCGCAAAGTAAATTCGGAGAATCTCGGAGCGGATGAACGGACGAGCGTAATCCGTCGTTGTCTTCGCGATCACTCGTAATCTTCATTACCCGTGATTAGCCGTAACGAGATTATCGTGCGCGGGCTGCCCCGGCCAATTGTGCCGCGTTCGTTTCAACTGCAACGCGAACGAAAATCATCGGACAAATATTCAATGTTCCCACAGAACGTAACCGATCTCCCGAATAACCAAAGTTCAACCGATTCACAATTTTAAACCTCTCATTGACGAACAACAGTCATTGTACCCGAATTATTCCTCTTAACCGTTCGAGTCCCAGGTGTCATTGAAAAAACCGTCGAAACGTACCGATCAGCACTGCACCGCTTGTCTAAACTAATCGCGAAAAGAGCCAAGCGGCTCAACATCGGTTTTCTTATCTCGCGTCGACAAATCGGCGCTGAATTTATGTTTGGTGCCAAGTAAGACTCACGCTTGTTTCCGCGTAAAACTTAAATCTTTCTCCAGTAAAACCGATTTCATTAAAAAGGCAACAACAGAATACAAAACGTATTACTCGTCTTATTTATACAAAAGAACCATGCGATGTACATGCGTTAAAAAGAGCGATTTTTCGAATATCTCGCGTCGTAATCTACCGGATCTCTTCGACACAGAATCGAAACAGCGCGATCGCTGGGACTCAAACGGTTAACGGTGCCGATCGCTTTCTATTCTCTTCTCACGGAGAATCGCGTCTCTTCCGCGCGTAGTACCGCAATCGGCCAGGACACTCCGCGAACAGTCGTCAGATCGGATTGTCGTAGAAGCGGAACGAGCACGCGCCTCGAACCGATCGAGTCGATTCCGCGGATTGCGGAGAACCCGAGGGAACTCGGTTCGCCGTGTCGTTCGCGACGAAGGACGATCCGTTCCTCGCACGCGTGCTCGTCGTCACGATGTTCGACTCCGAATCGACGGGGATCGAGTGCAACGTTAACGAAATACCGACGCAGAGGTTCCAGTGCGACACACGATCGATCTCGCGTTGCTTGTGTACCGCAAAACCGTTCTCTATACACATAATGTACACGCGTGTAGTATACAGGGTGCGTCGGGACGACCGGCGGTCGTCGAGAAATCAAATTCAAATTGAACCCTACGCGAACCGATCTCCGGTAGAATGTTCATGTCTCATTTTCCGCGTTTCAATCGCGAGATCTCCGATTCGCGAATCGAACGCTAGATTCACGGACGTTTATTCTATTTATTCTACCGCTCCTAGGAGAGTACGTGTTCGTTCCTACGGAAATCAGAGGTCGAAGGACAGAGAATTAAAACGTGCACTCGTATAACTGCATCAATGAAAATCGACTGGAATCGTTGCGAACGTTCAAACGACACAATGTCCGTCGGACCGACGGGTTCCGTAAATCTAGCGTCGGACGTTTGAGTCCTCGGGAGAGCGTCGATCGACGTTTCAACGAGAAACCTTCGATCGAACGTTTAAATGGAATTATTCCAGCGTTCGAAATTCGAGAATCTCGGTTCGCTCCACCGGTCGTCCCCTCGAGCCCCGTATATAACAATAATTCGTCCGTTCGTTCGTTCGATACACATTGTACGTGTATGTACACACACGTATAACGTATACGTGCGTGTACACACAGGTACATGTGTATTCATTTATTTATATATTATATTTATATATACTCTGGAAGGCGACAGTAGAAACTACCGAAGTAAATATATATATATATATATATGTATGTACGATATTATTATAATAATAACAGGTATACGCGGAGAACGAGAACAGCGATTAGGAAATGTTCCCGCCTCGTTTCTAATCGCGGACCGAGAAACAGGGGTGGAGATAGAGAAACGGTGACGGTGGGAAAGAAAGGGGGAATACGGTGAGAACTCTCCCGTCTGTTTGTCCGAATCTTCCAGGGAACGCGACATCGATGATGATTCCCGTTTGCGACAGATTTTATTGAGTTCCACGTTTCTTCTGTTATTTAACCCTTCCGAAGAATCGTCGACGGGAGAGGCTGCTGGAAAAATAGAGAGAGACAGAGAGAGAGTGATGA